CATGTGATCAAGAGCGTAAGCGAATTCAGGATTTCAAGTCTCTGGGTGCCAAGTAGGTTCATCGGTTAAATTAGTTTTAGGCTTCAGTTGAATTATTCGTCTTTTCGGTCTATGACAAATATGAACAATATTAAGATGACAATTTATGTATTATATATACTACAAATTCTTTGTGCATGGGTCATGCTAATCTTCTCCGCATTGTTTCAATTTTATCAGATGTCTCCAACGGAGCAAAAGTTTATCGTTTTAATTTAGATGCTCTTGTTGAAAATCAAATTCAAGACCGACAACGGAAGATTTTTTCTCACATAATATTTGGGAAAACTCATTTTAGCTCAATTGTTTTGACTATTTAAACTCTCACCTTACCATTTTCCCTTCCCTTCCCTACCTTCATATATAAATACAAATTTGCACCCCACATTTGATTGAGATCATAAAGTAAACAAAGTTAAAACTTTCAATTATACTATAAATATCATAAATATTCATCATTCATTTATAAGTGTGCCCGACAAGTTTTCATATTTTGAAAATGATCAATGACGATATCATTGCTTGTATTTACAATAGATCATGTTTTAAGTAACACACTAGTCAAATATACTTATAAATTACTACTCCATATTAAGACAACTATTAGAAACAAACAAAAAAAATAATGTGCCGCTGTCATATTAAGGGAGCAAGTTAAAATTGCAAATTAAAAAACTGTCAGGGCCTCAGCGAGATTCGACCTCGCGACCTCCGTGTTAGAATATGACCCTTAGGCAGCCGCACCTTAAGGCCTTACGTTTAGTATTTGTAATTATATTGTAGATATATACCTATATATACTAGAGTTTCCGTCGAATCCCGTGGGTGGTGTGGCACCCCACGAACCTAACTAGATCCATCCCGATTCAAGAGAGAGGTGAAAAAAACCTAATGATGAGGTGTGAGAGGTTGACGATGGTGAGTTCAAGGAGCTGGAGTAAAGGTAGATCGAAGAGACATTGGAGAAAGGTAATTAATTAGACAAATATCTTTAACCCACTTAAGACATGACCTTAGATATATAAGATAATTTGGAGGTCGCGATTTAGGTTAGAAGGTTAATACTCCGTATGTTTGAGCATTGTCTCGCTTTCCTACGAGTTAAGGTTGGTGGTAGTTTGACGCTCTGTACCTGTTTCTCCTTTATACTGGTAGTATTAACAATGTTGCTTAGTACTTCTCTATCCTGCGTTATGTTGCTATCGACTCATGTGTTTTGATTATCGCAAATATTTTATTATTTTTATTGCTTCTTTTTACTGTATGTTGATATTTTCTTTAGTATTTAGTATATCTTTTTTTATACTATTTGATATGTGTTATTTAAGTTAGAATTGTTTCTAAAATAATTTTTCTATTATTGTTAGGTGAGAATAAGTTCTCCTTATATTTTAGACTTTTTCAGACCTTACTCTATTATCCCTACATTAAATATATCATTTTTATAATTTTCTATTTTTAACCTTTTTGTTTAATCAAATACTATTATTTCTTCTGTCTTAAATTATTTTTTGAATATGTTTTAAAAAGAATAATTCAATTCTATCTAATAATAGCACTTTATACATCTATTTTACTTTAATAAAATAATTTTTTTTAATTTTTTTTTAATATTTAATATCAAATTAAACTATCTCATATGAATTAGGAGAGAGAACATAGATTAAGACAAATGAAATAATCTAAAACTGAGACGGAACTAACTTGCTCCGCCACCAGATTTTTTTTTCCCTTTTCATTTCACTATCCAAACAACAAATAAAAATTGGGGGACCCACATATTCGTTATTTGAACATATTAAAAAGTAGTCCTGGGCTACAATTATTATTATTATTATTTTAAAAAAACTAAAATATCTCAGAATTGTAGCATAAGATATTTTCGAATTAGAGTTTGGTGATTAATCATTATTTGGACATGTAATCATGATAAGCATCTCTACGACCAGTGGCGTAGCCACGTGGTGGTAAAGGTGTCCAATTCGGAAAAAAAATTCATATATATAAGTAAAATGATACACGAAATGATTAAAAAACATATCTTGGACACTCTTAACATAACAAGTTGCTATTTCTGAACACCCTTTGTGAAATTTCTGGTTCCCCCACTGTCTACGACTGAATTTTGTTTATTTATTATAAAAAAATAATTACGTAAAGGTTTGCACTTTATAATTAAGACTCATGAATTAATAAAACATCTTATATGGAAATGGGAACATATTATAATGTCCCACCAATTGTAATTGAATAATTTTTTTTCTTCTGATATCATCATCATGTCTACCGCATATATTTTAGTTATATCACTTTTTGGATAAGAGATCAGCACAAAAATACTACTATAAAATATATAATAAAAATAATTATCGAGGATTGTAGTATTATTTTATCTTATATTAAAGATGAAATAAATTTTTTGAAATAACTAATTTCCAAATTGCTTGTTCTTCAATCAAACGAACTGTAAGTATTTAATTTTATGTTGGAGGAGGAGGGGCTACGTCAATTTCTTAAATAAATGGGAAAATGACAAAATAAATGATTTACATACACAAAATGCTTAGGCTAAATCCTATTATCATAGATTACTTTGTAAATTATTTTCCAAGAATTTATCTATGGTGTCCTTTCTTAGTTGTTGCCACAAAGAAGATGGATTGTGTAGCAAAACCTAAATAGTTTTGGAATAATGGCATAGTTATTATGACGTTGTTAAATGTAATTGAATTTTGAGGGTTTATCTTGAAGTCATTTCCACATTAAAAGCTAAAATCAGTCATGGAAAGAACTTAATTATACACTAGGCAATTACTTGGGGTTCTATCAGAAATTTAAAATTGATCACGTGTAGAGGATGAAATTCAGAAAAGTGGAACAAGAAAGATAAAGACAATCAGATAGTGAATGATAACAAGAGATTTGAAACCTTCAAAGTGACAATGCAATGTTTGCAAAGCAAATTAAAGTACGATACAACAAAATATAAGGAGCAAACTAATTAGCTGAATAATTTCCATAAGTTAGTTAAGAAGTAGTTAAAACTAGCCGCATGATTTTCAGAAGTTATTTAGAAAGTAGTTAACATGTGGATTAGGAAAACAGATTAACAAGATAAAAAAAAACATAGTTTGTTCATTTAGCTCATTATCAAAGATGAAAAGAATATTGTTTAATCTATTCTGAATTTTTGTATATCTACCTGCATGATTAGCAAGCTTTAAATAATGAGAATTTCCATTCAAAGAGGACTGACTTAATGTATATATCTTAGAGCTTAATATAAATGAGAGACGTGACAATAAAAAAAGCAATGTATAGCCATACAGTTGCAATGGTCCAAAAATTGAAGTTCATTCAAAAAATATTTTAGAATACGAGAAATTGAACATGAAATATGCAAAGAAAGAAAAATTTAAAATAAATAACAAAAATAATATAGGAGAATAACAACAAAGTACGAAAATTCAAATTGCATCAACAATAAATCTATTTATTTCGAATTAAAAAGACCATGTTGGGTTGCATATATTATTTTAAATAATTTGATCACCTAATTGCACCCTATATGAATTAAAATATCTGAATCATATTAGGAGTTGTAGCGTAAAATATTTTTGAGCTATAATTCGTTGATAAATAGTTATTTTATTTGAAAGTGTAAGCATAATTTTTTCAAACACCTGTATGGTTGAGTTCTATTAATCATAATTTCCCAAACATCATCTATATGATTGGGTTTTATGAATCTTAATTCAGAATAGAAATAGACATGTAATCACAATTTTTTCGACACTTGAGAGATGAATAATATTGGATGGATTTGAATTCGAAAGAATTAAATGAATTAATTATATATACACATGATATATTTTAATTATATTTTCTTTATCAGATAATTAGTGAAGGATTAAATAATTACCCCTCAAACTATCCAATAGCAATTTACAATTAAATAAATGATTAAGTCACGTGCTTTGCTTAATTTATTCTAGAATAGTTTGTCAAAATTGACCGTAGACTAATTACTAGTTACATTAAACAATTTTTAAATATTATAAAAAGCGCCAAAAATAAAATAAAATTGCATTCAGGTCAGTACTAATAATATGTGAGAGAATTTATTTGCTGAAAAGTACGTGTTAACTCCCTCCGTCTTAATCGATTTGTACTAAGGAAAATGACATAATTAAGAGGGATAAAACAACTAAAATAAATCTAATTATATTATACAAATATATGTCACGGAAACAACCTTAAAATATCTAATTAGATATTTATCTCATTTCTTAATATCGTTTATAAGAGCGATTCAAATAAATTGGTGATTTGAAGACAAAATTAAATGAAAACCTTAAATTTTTTCTTAAAAAAATCTATTCTTTAGAATGCAAAATTGTTAATAATTTTTTTAAATAATTTTCTTTTAATAATTTATGAAACACACAAATGTGATTAATAATTGGTTATCTTACCTTCCTTTTGATACGTTTTAAAAATATTTTTATTTTGTAACTTCTTTATTCTAATTTTCACTTAATATATTTAAAATCGTAAAATTGAATAACATTTTATAATATTCTACATATTTTTAACTTGTGATCATAAGATTCACAAATAAATTAAAATGGAAGGAGTAGTATTTATGAATAATTTCTATCAACGGTATTATCGTACGGTTATCTGGTATTTGACGCAGTGACCAGTAAACTCTTATTAGCTGTCAGCCTGTCACGCACATGGCGCGTGTTCAGCACTTTCCAATTCCAAAATGCCCACACGCGATTTCGCTCGCTTCCTAGAAAAAATATCTGGTTGACATTTTCTGTAAGATATTATCAACCACTGCTGACGTGGCAAAAAGCCAAAAATCACGACACGTGTAAAAGCGTCGCCATGGGGAGCCCACATTGGCCCCCACCGAAAAAAAATATCCCCGGCTTGATCAAAACCGCCTCCACAGCCCCTAAACCCCCCCACCCCCAACCCCACTCTACCCCAAACTTCACGCTGTTAGTCATCTGCTTGTAAATATATAGAGGAGATATTTGTTGATCTTTTTCAAATCTCACATTATCGGAGAATATAAAATGGAACAGAGCTCCCGGAAGGAGAGACCGTCGTCGTCGTCGGAGAGTTGCGCTAATGAGTTGACCCGGTTGAATTCTGGTGCGTCGTCTTTGAGTGTTGCGGATTCCAAAGATACTTTGCTGCAGGGTGGAAATGCTACCAAGGTAATAATTTCTTTATTTGCGATTCTTCCTGGTTAAATCTCGTGTATCGTTTGGTATTTTGAGGAGATTTTGTGATTTAGTGTCTATAAGGTTATTTCTTTGTCTATTTTCCTAAATTGTTGGTAGTAGATGCTGATATGGTGACCGTATGGGTTCTCTGTTGTCCGTATGATTTTTTTAGCCGGAGCAACGACTAGACATGATAGAGAGAGAGAGGATATTTAGCTTGAGAATTATTGAAGGAAGAAATTGAAAAATTGGCTCACTAGTTTAATTTAGAGATTGGGTTAAAGATCTACGCGTGATATGTTAGTTCAATTCTGTTTTTAATCTGGTTAAGGAATATCTAGCATAACCTAAGTGTGTTTTTGGAGTTGGAAGAAGTGGAATTATGCTCATCTTTTTTGTGTTAAAGAGACAAAGAACAGTTCTTGTGGCAAGGATGGTCTGATTATATTATTATCTCGTGTATACTGCAGGTTAGAGTTTTTGCTCACATGAATTCTCTTTTTATTGAACTTCTATATTTCTCCGTGTTGAGAAGGAGGAAAGGGGGTCATTATTTGTTGAAGTCGTGAGGGGTTGTTGCTTAGTTCTTGTTTAAAGACTGAACTGGAAAATTAGCATCAAAGGAAAAATTGTTCTAGTAGATGATCAATCATGAGTATTTAGCTTGTCATGCTCATTCCAAATTACCTATTTTCAGATCTAATCAAAAAGAATTTTTACACGCTTGAGCAGTACTTTACACTGTTGTCAGGGTCTTTATTGGAGACTTTCACCTATAGATTCAGACTACTCTATTAAATTTTGTGTAGAACATTTTTGTGATGCCATTAGTGTATGGTGTATCAGGCTGAAATTCTCTTTCTTTATGCTTTGGGATTATCAGATCTTGTATTATGTATTCCTGGGTAATCAGCGGATACTGGTAAAAAGAATCGCAGTCAGCCTGCTGGTGGGAGGTAAAAAGTACTTGGTGTAATAGTCCACAAGTTGGCTCTATTCCCTAGTTTTAAAAAAGGTTACTTCATTGTCGCTTTTAGAACCCAGTTTTCTTTAAAGCTACATTTCTAAATATGTAGTCATTGAATGCTTAAAACTTGTGTCACACTTCTTGGTTAGTGATGTTGATGCATAATCCTGCACATGCTGTTAATAATACGGACTACCCTTTTATGCAATTAATATTACAACAACAACATACCTAGTGTAGTTCTAGAAAGTGGGTTCTAGGGAGGGTAAAGTGTATGCCAGCTTATCCCTACCTTTGAGTAGAGAGAATGCTTCCGATAGACACTTGCCTCGTGCAGTTAATATTAATAATCTATTAATAGATTGAATTGTTCTGCTGAAACTGCAGCATGTGTGGGAAGTGTACCTTGATTTGAAATTTGTTTTATCATTATTTTTTAAATGATGTAATACGACTTTTGAGAATGAAATTTCTACTTCTAAAAGGTGTTTTCCTGTGACTGCCTGTTTTCTCAGAGATTTTAGATCCCCCAAGTCTCTAGGTTTTCATTTAGCTGTTAATATGATAGTGCTTGCAAGGTATACACTTTGTTTGCATATAGTGATTCCACCACATTGATCTCTCTGAGCACTCCATAGAAGACACTTGGTTAGTTCCGACTGCTGTGATAAAGCTTGAAATCAAACATGCAAAAGGATAACTAGGGGAAGAACTGAGTTTATAAAGTGTTTGGTTCAAGCATGGAAATGACTTTCCATAATCAAGTGTATTTCAAGAAAAAGAAGGGAGAAGTGGGAAAAAATGTATATTACATAGGGAATAAAAGCCAAAAAGTGCGACATATTATGTGTTGGAGACATCAGATGTGATTAGAAATCTCAAAAACTTTCTCGCTGCCTTTATTCTTCACTGCTGAGAGCATCAAAAGATTAAGTCCTCCTTTCAGGGACATTTTTGAGTATGCTAGGGATGATACCCTAGATTCACCAATCAGTGTAGAAAAGAAAACAAGAAAGATAGTCAGGAAGACCAAGGAGAAAGCAGTATATGCAGCATTTATTGTGGCATGCATATTTCTTGAAATGATTATCTGTGAAAGCTACTTGTGGCATGCATATTTCTTGATATGTTTTTCCAATTTTAACTTAATGAGCATTAACCTGCCAGAATATCAGGATAACAACACTTGCATATTTCACGTCTTAACTTCAGGACAAGTACACAGGATGGACAAATGCAAAGCACAATGCATTTCTGGACTGTCTTGAAGCTTCATTTGTTAAGCAGTTACACAGATCCATGGCATTGCGTGCTGGATCTGTGGAAATGAACCTCAGCTGTAGAAATTTATCAGAAGAGTTATCTGCACATGTCAACAAAGCTTCAAAGCAGGTCAGGAGCCTAATTTTAGTTCATTCTTTATTTCTAGAGCTATAACACGACCCTTTTTGGCTGCGTTTTAACAATGACCTGGGGCAGAGGCAGAAATATATTTTAGGGCCGGCGACATTTTCACACCAAAAACTAGTCTTACTGAGTTACTGACACCAATCTGACTTAAGTGTAAATCATGCAACATCAAGAAGAAAAAGAATTCAAAAATGCACAGCTGATATTCCAAATGTGTGTGTTGTGTGTATCTCTCTATATATGTATGCATGTAGTTAGGATGCTACAATTCAGTATATGTGAAAAATTATGCTGTGTGAGAAATAGCTTTTAACATTGATTTGATGCGATCGTCATTTTACATAACCATAGGCAAATACTTGAATGGAAAAAAAAAATACTACTTCTACTGTCTTGGAAAATTATATTTATTTTGTTCTACTAATAATTAGGTTATATAAGTATATACGAGTAGCATATATAACCAAAATAAATTATGATGATGAACAGATGAAGTAAATATCAAGTATTTGATGTGATCTTCATTTTTGGCTTTTCTTGAATGACTTCTAATGTTCAAAGAAACAAATTTTGGTGTCTTGCCTTTTTATCTGAGATGCCAAAATTCAAGAATTAAGAGGGAAAAATTAACGTCAGGTATAGCCATTAATAGGAGCAGGCCATGGAGAGAATGGGAGAGAAGAAGATCCTGATTCTGTCTTACTTTATAAGTGTACATGATCCATTGTAATTTCCTATTAATTGGGGAAGGAAGCTTAATTATTAAATTCCTACTTTTTACATCCTTTCTCTTTTAGGAAGACATTCTTGCTTTGTTTGAAAATGAGAACTTGTTCGTAGGTTCCGTGCTTTCTAAAGGGATGTTGGTTGAATATAAATTTTTTGCATAATATTTATAGTTGCCTCATTATTTGCCTCCTGTTTTGGTTTCTCCCTGAAGTACTTGTGATCGGTATCACTCCGACTCTTGAAGGCTTCTGCACTCATGTTGGATCCTCCAAATATGCACTACTTCTGGAGGATCCAACATGCACCATCAACATTTTTGAAGAGTCCTAGCAAACATAGATCACTAGGGATCTGCACAAAATTGACCCATCATACCCCACTAGTTTTCTGTAATGACAATGAAAACAGCACCATGCCCGTCTTACAAAGAAAATGAAAAAAACTTCGGTGGATCTTGCTTGATAGTTTTCCCTTCTCTTCCAGTTACCTTTTCTGCGTCATGGCTCTTGGAAGAAGATCAACACTGTGAGGCAGCCACCTGTTGTGTATATCGCAGCTGATTCTCATGATTGCTTAAAATATCTACGCGGTGATGGGCATCATCAGGTTCTGGATAGCCAATTTTGTAGTGAACTCCTTTGCAAGGGGAAACGAACAAGAGATGAGAGGTCTTCTTCATCTTGTGAATACAAAGCAAGATCACATTTAATCCCTTCCAATCCGGGAGAATTTCAGAAAACAGTTTGTAGAGTTACTGGTAAGCACTTTGCTACATTTATGTTAAAATTGTTTTTAATTGAGGATTCGAGGATAGGCGGTCTTCCGTAAAGACTTAAATGTGGAACTTGTAGTTCTACATGCTTAGATTCCTGGGATTCTGAAAAACTAAAGGATCATTATTAATGTACATTAAACATAGGTACAATATAGTTTGTGTAAATTCTACATTTGTTAGTATTTTTTGACATTGTTAGAAATTTTGCAGAAGGTTCAGGTCAGAATTTCTTGGATGAAGATTCAGACGAGAACTCGAGATGCAAAAAGATGAAGACAGCTTCGGTGGATACTACAGACCAAGAGCAAGTACTGTGCATCAACTTCTTCCAATAACCTTTGAAAAAAATGATTTTTAATGGTTGTAAAAAAAAACCATATCTAATCGCTGTATGTGTACTTTAGGTCGTTCCAACAAGGAATACGAGAGTTCAGGAGCTGCTAGTTCCATGTTCCAGAGAAATAACCAAGTAAATCTTGGAAATTCTTCACCAAACAATGACGGGAGCTAGTTCTATGTTCCAGAGTAGTGACAAAGTAAATCTCAAAACTAATCAGAAGACTATGGCAAATGTAAGACTTTTGGAGAAGGGGACTCACTCTCAACACAAGGAGTTGCTTTTCTAAAGGAGGATGGCAAATTTGAGAAAGGTGTACTGGATGAAATCAGATTTGTTGCAGATAGTAGAGTGTTGGCGTGTCATTTTTTGGGTTAAAAAATAGAGTAGGAAAAGTCTAGCGTGCATTTGCATAGTGTTGCGATATAGCAATAATGGTGTAAATGACATGTCGATAGTTATCCATACAAGCGTAAGTGTTTTACACGAGAAAGAAAACATTTGGGGGTGGGGGAGAGGGCAGGGGAACTAGAAAATTATCAGTAGAGAACAAATGTCTATATAAACTATTGCTTCAATAGCTTAATTCTTTTGTTTGTTTTTTCTTTCTTCTCGTCCATTTGAAGATGGATATGTACTTTTCTACGTATATTTAGTGGAATTCTCTCGATCCTTTACTGTGTCTTCAGCTTCTTTTTTTTCCGTAGTCCTGTTCTCTTTTATATGTCACTGTTTCTTTGTTTTGATCTTCGTTGCAGAACAAAGTTGAACTGTTTCAATTTTGAAAGTGGAGTTATGATGTGTTTACGATCGATCATATTGCAAGGTATGAGATTTACATTAATTTATTGGGAAGCCAGCATATGTAATCTTGAGCTCTCCCACTTCAATATCAAGCTTTTGGAGTGTGGTTTTCTTTGGATTGTATCAATGATACAGAGCCGTCCACCTCTCTTTGTGACGGTCGTGCCTTGGTGAAGCCGGTGTTACAGTGTTGCTCGGGGCTAGAATGGGCAGTGATCGTTGAAAAACTAAACAAAAAATCATTAGTCAAATAGTAACAGCTAAATACAATAACAATCCAGTGTTAAGCCCCACCTATGATTTAGACATACCGATTAAGTGGGTGAGTTGTTTGGTATGCATGAATAAATAAGATATCTCATAAAATTATTTTATTCTATTTTCTATATGAATAGTATTTCATTTGAAAATTAATTAACGCTCATAATTCATAAACATGAAATAAAATAATTCGATAATTTGTTTTGGTTTATAATCCTTAATTATCCCACCAGCCAAAAGTAAACAAAAAATGAAAAACTATATCAACATGAATAAATTTGGATAACTATACGCATGAATAAATTTAAAGTAGTACTACATCTGTTTAATATTATTTAATTCTCATATTAAAAATATACTTATTTAAATTTATTTCTCGAATTTTAGAAATTACAAATTTTTTTTTCTTTGTATCCTTAATATTAATAATCACATACAGTAATAGTATACAAATTTAATGGGCTTAAGTCATAGGCGATCACTTAAAATTATTCACATATTTCACTTTAACACCTCAATTAAATCATTTTCGCTGACATGACAAGATGTGTGTAATGCACACAAAGAGAGGCGCGTAAAAGGACAAGTTTTACGAAAACAAAATCTTTTTATATGTTTTTCTTCTTTATTTCCATGGATGTTCCCACCACCATTTTACCGTTCCAACCATCCACAACTCCTTCTCCTTTTCGCGATTTTCAGCCATTCTTCTTTTCAAGTACACCACCTTATTTTTTTCCATCAAATCGGTCGTCATCATCCACAAATATACCATTGTCAAACGACCACAACCGCACATTCAAATCTGCCACCAAATTTTTCGTCGGAAAAAATGGTATTGCCGCTGCCACCATACATATCTCTCCCTGCTTCTCTTTTGTCAAATCGAACCCAAACATAAATTAAATATAAATCTGAAAAATAAAAGAAATGCAGAAAGAAAAGAAAATTTTGTGAAGAAGAGGAAGTGGGAATGCCTTTCCTTTGACATGAAATGTTAAGCAGGCATCATGACATAAAGACACAAAAAATTTAAAATAACAAACATCTAGTGATCGATCGTTTTCTCACTTTCGTGTTCATTATTTCCGGCAAAATTAATATGAATCTAAAGTTATTCTTTGAAATTGTTGATGTACTCAAACTCTAAAGAACTCACAATACAAGAACAATAAAAATATCAATAAAAATAAATTGATGTTTAAAGAAAAAACTCAAATTTGAGGACAATGTGTGTGGTGTTTTGGGGGAGAAGGGTTCTGGGTTTCTGGCAAAAGAAGAAAAAGAATAGGAGGGGTTTTCTTTTTTTCTTTTTCCTTTCCTGAAATATATTTTCTCTTTTTAATTTATTTTTTAATTGGTATTCTGCCCCAATACCACATGTCTTCTTTTGATTAGTTACTATGACACATCATCCGCGAGTGTATTACACACACCCTCTCTTTTTAGTTGATTGTTTAAAAAGTGTTCGATAGGTAAAAAAAATTATTTGTGCAAGTGTTCAATAAAAACAAGCTTAAGATGAGGTGTCTAAGTGAAATATATGGACAATTTTAAGCATCTCCAGAATTTAAAATTCCGGGAGTAATTTGGAAAGTGAAATCAAACCAACTTGAAAAATAAAATCTGAGTCCGGACACGTGTAAATTATACATTACTTTTGAAAAGTTTACATTATATATACAAGTTTTTAGTTGTCAAATACACACTAAACCCCTTTACAGTATTGCTATCGCCACAGCTTGTCTATTTTTCTTCCTCTTTCTCTCAATTTTAGCGATTCATGGCTACTGGTATTCCAATTCAAAGATTCCCTTGGGCAGATGAAGCACCCAGTTCAATTGGGTCATCCTCAATTTCAAATGTACCCAATAAAAAATGGCGTAATTGGTTACCTCTCTTCGTTGCCCTTGTGTTTATAGCAGAGATTTCTTTTCTTAGTAAAATTGACATGGCTGAAAAAGCCAATCTTGTTAATTCTTGGGCTGACTCCTTCTATCAGTTCACCACGTCTTCTCGGTCCACCACTGAACTGGCTGTTGATGAGGCGGAATTGGGTGTTTTGGTTAGTGAGGTTGATCAGGGTTTAGTACCAGGGGGCTGTGAGGAGTGGTTGGAAAGGGAAGATTCTGTGGCCTTTTCCAGAGATTTTGACAAAGAACCAATTCTTGTTCATGGCCGTGAACAGGTTACTTTTTACTTCTGCTAATTAATCCCTCCTTTCAATTTGTTTGTGTGGTTTTGACTTTGATATGAAGTTCAAGAAAGTAAAAAAGAGTTTTGAATCTTGTGGTCTTAAATATGTCAGTAGATATGAAGTTTAAGAAAGTAAAGAAACTTTTGAATCTTGTGGTGTTTAGTACTAAAGATATGTAGAATGTACCAAAATAAATGAGTTTTAATCTCGTGGTCTTAAAGATTTCACTAGAGGAGTTCAAGAAAGTAAAGAAACTTTTGAATCTCATGGTTTTTAGTACTAAAGATAGGTAGAATGTACCAAAATAAATGAGCTTTAATTTTGTGGTCTTAAAGATGTCATGTAGAAAGTCAGAATTGAAGAGTTGTCGAAAATGGATGGAGTTTTTTTTTTTTTTTTTTGTTGAAATGGACTAAATAGTAAAGTAAGACAAACAAATTGAAAGGGAAGGGAGTATTGAGTATTGGAAATAAATGGGCCAAATGGAGATAATGGATAATGGGATTCATATAGTGGAACCTACTAGTTTGGGATTTAGGGATAGTTGCTTTTGTTTTCAACACTGGTTTTAGTGATATTCCTAAGTCTTTTTAGATAATGCATTTACTTCTTTTATGGATTTGTTTGCACGCTACATAGGGCTCTTTTATTATAGGGCGAGGAGTCTGCTTCCTGAATCCCATATGTGTTGACATCACGGTATGCTTAAGAGTGCATGATTGACTTCAGACTTTTGGATTGTATCTCGGATATAGCAGGAGAGTTTTCTTAGGTGTGATGTCTTTTGGTTGTTGTGATTTGTTTGCGAGGAGACTTTAGATACAGGTTGAAATTTATGATGAATTTTGATGTCTATTCAATCACTATACCTTATACAGAATTTGATGTCTGTTCAATCACTATATAGACATTTAACTCCTGTCCGGTGGGATGTAAGTTTGGAACCAATTTCGATAAGAAGTCTGATGCAGCATTTCGGCTACCACGACAAGCTGGCATAGCTAGCGTGCTACAATCTATGGAGTCAGCTCAATACTATGCTGAGAACAACATTACTCTGGCACGACGGTGGGTAAGCACATTATGAAAAAGTTTTATTGCATTCCCTGCCATCAATGGACAACTGTCTTTCAATTTTTCTAAGTAACATTTTTCATCACATTATTCTTTAGTATGCTATGCATTGTTATTAGATTTAGACAGCTATTGCATTATAAGCACATTGGCAGCTATAGATCCTTTGTCCAAAATTTTGCCATAGGCAAGATGTTTAAAAACTGATAACATGAATGCATGCTTCGTTAGGCAAAAATATATTCCCTGTAGAAAATAATTCAGATTCAGATTGGCTCTGCATTTGCTGTATTCTTTGTTCAATGTGATTTTGTGAGTGGATAGTGCTGGTTTTCTTCATTCCTTTAGGGCAACAAGAATAAGAACTTGGCTTTTCTGTATGGGCATTTTGAGGATGAGGGGAGAACTTAGTTTCTGAGTGGTGTAAGTCAAGCTCTTCCTATTTTACTTACAAAGAAGTTCTTTTCTTTTTGTTTACTTTATTAAGGGTATCTAAGATGATAATTATAATTTATCTACTCTTGAGGTCTTTTGGTATGCCAGATGAGTTAAAGGGGGCTTACAACTCACAGCTAGGTAAGTAGATCAGAACTCATTTTCAGTGTCTAATAGGAACAACTTTTGAATAGTTAAGGTGTTCAACAGATATAGGGTTGGGTTGGGTGTCTTAAGTGAATGCTATGGCTAACTTTAACTGGTGGTGTATGACTTAAGCCTTTACCGAACCATAAGTTTATGTGCAACCATACATATTAAACAAAAAGAAATTACTTAAAAGTTGCAGAGCTAATTGAGCACCACCAGATACTTAAAGCTATGCCAGCAGAATCTATCATAAGTTTGATCACAAAGTTAATTTATCTACCAAAAGATCTTTTGATTATGTTGTAGTTGAGATTTTTCTATAGCCTTGCTTAAAAAATGGCTTAGCATTATAAACATGGTACTTAAACCAATGCTACCTGCCATGACGGATTCTGAAATTGCCTTGGTTAGTGCTTCTTCTTTATATCGAATCACAAAGTCAGTCTATGCAGCCAAAGTTCTCAAGGATCCTAGTGTGGTTGAGTTTTAAAATTTGCATCATTTTGCTGACCTATTTCATTTTTTTCACTCACATACAGAAGGGGATATGATGTTGTAATGACAACAAGCCTCTCTTCAGATGTTCCTGTTGGGTACTTCTCTTGGGCTGAATATGATATCATGGCTCCAGTACAACCTAAAACAGAGAATGCCTTGGCAGCGGCTTTCATTTCTAATTGTGGTGCTCGGAACTTCCGCTTGCAAGCTTTAGAAGCCCTTGAAAGGGCAAATATCAGAATTGATTCTTATGGAAGTTGTCATCATAACAAAGCTGAAAGAGGTTAGTATACTTCAATTATCCAACTTCTGAAGAAAAAGGATAAAATATGGATGGCATTTTTTAAGTAAAATAGTACCACTGTGGAGCTAATTCTTGTCCTTGGGATAATATTATGGATTTTGATTGACTCTTCCTCGGTGTCAACACATTCCTTCAGAAGACAGGGTTTTTCTACCAATGCGAACTTTATGTTTTTTCTCCTGGCTAATAATGTAAGTATGCATGCATGTTGTCTTTATATTATTGGTGTAGGTGTGTGATTAGAGTTTATGCTAGTCCAGTGATTTTGCCATGTCAATGGGCTATTTTGCTCTTGTTCTTGATTAAAGTTTGAGTTGAAATAAGTTGGGATACAGTATTTAAATTGTTGAATTTCATTCTGAGGAAATTATATTGAGATTTGTTGAAACAAAAGTATACCGAGAAAAGGTGTTGTGGATAAATCATCTATGTGGATGTGGGGTATTTTCTGTTCTTCTTTACATGCATTTGGTTTAGGTTTGCACTGATATCCAATTAAATCTTTATTGTTACTTGTCAAAAAGGAAAAGGAAATCCAATTAAATCTAACTTATCCAATTAAATCTTTATTGTTACTTGTCAAAAAGGAAAAGGAAATCCAATTAAATCTAACTTGTGGTCTCTGTTCTCAATCTGATGGCAGTTGACAAAGTGGAAGCACTGAAGCGCTACAAGTTTAGCTTGGCTTTTGAGAATTCTAATGAGGAGGATTATGTAACTGAAAAATTCTTTCAGTCTCTTGTAGCTGGTAATCACATTTGTATTTCTTAGTTGGTAATGTAGACTTGGAATTTTCAGAGTTGAGTGCATATGTGATTTTAGCTTAGTCCTTTCTCCCTTTACAGGAAAGATATAGTTGCTCCCATTGTATGCTGATGTGGTTTTAGTTAGATCTTCTGTATTTACTAGCAGACCTCGGAAGGTGGAAATATTTTTGATGAAGTAATTGGCTTCATTAGAGGCATCAAGAAGATGCATAATAGTCACAAAATATAGAAGCAAAAGCAAAAGAAAACCTGTTAGCTCCTTTTAGGAAAAGAAGAAGAAGATGTCTCATGACCAGGGAGCTAACAAGGAGGTGCATTGGCTGCATTTAGCCTTTCATTCCATCAAAACATCTTCTATTCCTTTCAATCCATATGCTCCCAAAAATATGAGCAGGCATCATCTTCCAGATGCTGTATGGTGCTGTCAACTTTCTCGCTGCTCCAACTCTCTAGAGTTTCCTTCATGCTGTATGGCATGCTGTAATGCCATTTCCAAAAAACAGAATAAAACATATTCCAGAGAGCTGTTGCTACTGTACAGTGCGTAAATAAATGACAGTTTTGCATCTTTATGACACAGTATATAGAACTTACAGTTACTTATAAAAGTTGCAGGTAGGACAAACATTTGAGTTCTGATAAATTCTTGATACATTCAACAATGGTTTGGATTTGGACTTGCATTTCTGTAGCTTGAACAATGTGAGGCTAAAGATATAGGAATTTTTTTGAGGTGATTATGGGGGTATCATTTTTTTTTGACAAGGGAAACTCCCCGCCCACCACACAGGAGAGGTAACTCGGACGAGCTCGACCCAGAAGGCAAACCCCTTGCTTTTGCTGGCAAGGGGTTTCGAACTTGAGACTTCCAACATTCCAACATGGAAGTGGCCGCCTCGAAGAGTTACAGGGGTATATCTTAATTTGAGTATTTTCTTTATAAGCTCTACAACAATAACAACAACAATGCCACAGTCCTAAATAAGTTGAAGTCACCTATATGAATCCTCACCGACCATGTTTCTCTATTTAAATTTATCTCATGCCATAATCGTACCAAGTAGATATAAAAGTAAAAAAAGTTAAATATACATAAAGTAAAAACCAGTATTAGAAGTCTTCTATATTTTTACTAGCTTATAAATCTTTTATTAAGGCAAAAGTACTCCTTGGCAACCCTTTGGGGTAGCCCAATGGTTTGGGGTTGAGACTTCCATGTTGGAGGTCTCAAGTTCGAAAGCAAAGGGTTTGTCTTCTGGATCGAGCTAGTCGCACCGAGTTTACCTAGTGCGGGTTACCTTTCCTATGTGGTTTGCGAGCTATTGCATAGGAGCGGGGTTTTTACCCTATGCGCACCCAAAGGGTAGCCGCTGCGGGTTTTCCTTGTCATCAAAAAAAAAAAAAAAGTAATCATTGGCAAAGCATCGGGTCAGACTAAACATACTAACATGACCATATTCCTAATTAGTGTATATATTACCTGTATAGATTTTTTCTTTCATTGTGCATTATCTTTAGCTAAGTCTGAATGGATTCCAAGAAATTGCAGGTCTATCTCGTTCTTCATTAGCACCTTTATTCACCATGGTTTTACACCTAAATACCGGTGCATCTGAGGTTGGCACATGATATGACCAGATTATCTCAAGTGACTTTCTCTCCTTTTAGCCCCAATGTTTGCTACTTGCATCGTTTGGTTGGTATGGTTCTGTTTATCTCTTCTAATCATCTATTCCCCGAACATCCATCTTAGGATCCGCATCTCTTCAATACTCATCTTGTCAATATGTTGCAGTTTAGTGGCCCAATATTCACTACATGTAGAACGTCTCCATTTCAACCATCTGGTTTTGATTCTAAGATTAACCATCTTCATCTATTGTTCCATACTCTTGGAATTGCATTTAGGCACCCAAATCCTATCCGACTCACCTTAACTTTGCTCTTCATGTTGCCTAAACTTGCAGTGCATATGTTCAATCTTACTTCTACTTATCCTATGAAGTGCTTCTCCACAATTCAAGCTTTTGGTTGACACCATTACTGATGTTGTCAATTAACACAATATCATCAGCAAATAACACACACTATAGAACCTCATATTGTATTTTGTTAGTTACCTCATCCATAACTAGGTTAAACATATAGGGGCTCGATGCCGATTATATATATGTTCTAAGACTATATTTTTGTTCAAGGTTTTTCCCATGTTTGAGATTTTGAAAATCTTATCAGTTCAGGTGAGATCGTAAGGTTTTCAACTCTTTACTGCTGACAAAAGTAAGACTATAAAACTTGTAGGATCAATCCCAGTGGTGGTTGGTGCTCCAAACATCCAAGACTTTGCTCCTTCTCCTACTTCAGTCTTGCACATTAAAGAGCTAAAAGACGCTGTATCAGTTGCCAAGACTATGAAGTACCTTGCTGAAAACCCTGTTGCATATAATGAGTCATTAAGGTATGCATCAATGAAAATTGTCCTTTCTTTTTTGGCTCCAGTCGTTCACTTGATAATGGGATGGTGCTCTTCTTACTTGTTTGAATTCCCTCAATCACAAATTTGATTATCTGCCTCTCCTTTTTGGATTATCCCAAAATTTATCCACTTTTCTAATGTGTATAGACTTTTTTTCTAAGTCATCTGCTACCTTCTCAACATAAAATTACTAAGAAAGTAATACTGACCCATTTTACTAAATTGTTTTCACTTCTGGTATTTCCAGTTTTTGACCAACTTATATCTAGATACTGCCTTTTAATCTGAGCTGGATAAATAATTTGGGATGACAACACAATGGCTCTCTCTCTCTCTCTGTTTATCTATAGTTATAAAAACACTTCTTCCCTTTTGAGTTTTACTAAATGCTTCTTAATTTTAATGGGGCATCTAACAGATGATTTTCTTTCGTCATTCAGGTGGAAGTTTGAGGGTCCATCTGATGCCTTCAAAGCCCTGGTTGATATGGCAGCAGTTCATTCATCTTGTCGTTTGTGCATCTTCTTGGCAACTAGAATCCGGGAGAAAGAAGAGCGGAGTCCAAAATTTATGAAGCGTCCCTGCAAATGTACCAGAGGGACTGAAACTGTCTATCATGTATATGTACGTGAAAGGGGGAGGTTTGAGATGGATTCCATTTTCCTAAGGTATTTTCAATCTCCATTGACTTCATTCTAACCCATGAATATCTAAGCATATTTTCTTTAATTATCAAAAAAGATATTTACCATATTATCTCAATATGTTAGAGCAGACACGTGTCTACTTTTTCCCATCAGTTCCACTGCTTTTATCCTATTAAGTATTTCTTTTAGCTTCATTTTCTGTTGTTTCTCACTCAACCACTCAATCAATGACAATTTTTGACAAATATTCTCCAGAACTACACCTGACAGAATAATATTTCAGATTTCTATTTTCTGAAATCTCCCATGCTTTTCTTTGATCTCTGGGAATGGTGGACTCTTTCTTTGTTCTTGCTTCCGTTGTCCAGGATGCACCTGAAAAGAGTATCATTTACTTCTCTCTTTCCCTTTTTTCTTTCACCAAGTTATGTGATTATTTTCATGTTGAAGAGCTAAAAGTGGAACCTAGTTGGTGTTTGACCATAGGATTTGGGGGCCCGATTTGAAGTTTTTATTTGAAACCAGCATTTCTTTATGAAATCTGCACAAAACTTCAACTTCAATTTTAAATCTCAAATTCTCCAAAAAGTAGGATTTCAAATTTCAAGTTGCGATTTCAAAAAATTTTAAATGTAAAATTTGACTCATAACTTTATATTGTATAAAAAAAAGATTCATAAGTTGGTAGATATAAATCCAACCTTACCGTATTTATATTCACAACCATATTTACTTCTACCAACCATATTTTTATTAAATGTGTGCTCAACGTGAAGAGATTGTACCATGTGGGAGGATTATATTAAAGAGTAATTTCACTACACTCATGTTCAATTTTCTTTTTTTATTGAACTAAAGTTCGATCAATAAATGTTGTATTTTTTAGAAAGGTCTTTTGGTAGTGTATGGTACTTTGTTATGAACTATGGTTTTGCTAATTTGGTAAGGTTGTATAAGAATTGGGTAAGTTTTGATAATTTTTATAAATTGTGGGGTTTTCATGTTTATGAGAAAAAATACAACTTAGGAAATTCATATTGCATGTCCAACTTCAAATTACTAAATCATGTCTAAACGGTCTGCAGCCGATGTTGGCCCCTTATACTCTCTGTTTGTCTCCATGTTTACGCAAAGATAAGAGCAGAGATGTTTTCACTTTTGATTTTCATGATCATATTGCATATTAACCTACCAATAAGCTGCGTGGCTTAATGAGTGTTTACCGAGAATTCATGTGAAATACATAGAGACGATTTCAACCTCTGCATCAGCAATTCTAATTGATTCATAGGCTGAAACAGGAAGTTCCTGAAAATTGTTGGTAGTCGAGCAACTAAGAGAAAGGAACTTGGAACCCTTTTCATTTAAATTTGCACTGAAATTCTTAGTTATTATATGGAAGTTTTGCACCCACTATATCTAGCGATTTATGTCCTGTACTTTTTCCTTCTGTTTTTGCCTTATCTCGTTGATGTACTTTGAATGATCATAATTTCTGTATCTGCGCAGGTCAAATGATTTATCATTGCAGGCCTTTGAATCTGCTGTGCTTGCAAAATTCAAGTCTGTTAAACATGTTCCAGTTTGGAAGGAGGAAAGACCTCAAGTACTTCGTGGTGGAGATGAACTCAAACTTCACAAAGTATATCCTGTTGGCTTGACACAGAGACAGGCATTATATTCCTTCAGATTCAACGGGGATACTGAGTTCAAGAATTACATCAAAAGTCACCCATGCGCAAGATTTGAAGCCATATTCGTATAGCTGAAGTTTGAAGTTTTGCTCGTAACAGAATTGCAAGCCATGGTGTAACTCTCTGTTCTTTCCCCGTGCCTTTGTTGTCTACAAAATTGGTTGTGGATCTTGCCATATGGATGCAACCAGAGAGTCGGGAAGTTATTGTTACAAAGGGTGAATCTGATATTTGGTGTAAACTTCTCATCCTTCACATTTTCAAGCATAAGGAAGGCCAGGAAGGATCAAATTTTGCCTCCTTTTTTTTTTAATGGATATGCCCATAAAATAACAAGTTATATACACTGACAACATAAGGATTTTTAGTGCGGTGAGCAATTCACCAAGTTGATGGTATAGCTGAGAATTGTAAGTTTTAGTTCAGACTGCAGGTTAGTGTTACAGGTATTGACAACGATACAAACTTTAGCAACGGTTTCATAATCATGAATATAAGTTTCTAGCCATGACTATAGTACTTTTTTGTGTGGTTAATTAAAGTACGAGAACATTATTTTAAACGCTAAATGTAGTCGTTACACAACCATAAAAATATCACTGAGGATATTCGAATTGCCAAGTCCAGCCAAAATGTTCAGTACAAACGGAAAATTTTTCTTTCGAAAAACAAGATTATTAAAATTGAGGAAAATGATTTTCCTAGTGAAATTAGAAAAAATAAGTTTCACAGAGTGATTTTTCTCCCCACCATTCAATATATTTCATCTTTATTCATCCCACCCTGCATCCGTGCCATCACTGTCACCTCCCATAGTATTTGTCTAGATTATATATAAATATTTTTAAGATGATTGCTTTTACTTGCTTACTTAATACAAGAAAAAAAGAGTAAGAAATTCACTTATTTTTAAAAAAAATTATTTTCCTGGTACCCAATACACCCCTAAATGTATGCTTGGAACCTTCGTTGTCCAAAGACGAGTAGAGAACATGATGCTCTTTTTTTTGTTATTATATTTCTTGTGTGTACTAGGGGGACAGTGTCACTTAAGTTTGGGTGAGAATGAAATTTTTTGTTATTTTGTCTGTATGAACTGTATTACTCATATTTAATTCATTTTTATAAAATTTATCTTTTTTCTTTTTTTCACTATGTGTAAACACGTTAATTATTTTATATTAATTTGCCGCAAAATCAATTTAGAAATTTTTTCCATGTGAAACGAGTGACATGTTGGTGAGTATTGGACAATAACAAATATAAATGTAAACATAATTTTGTTTTTAATATATTTGAAAGTAGAGTAAAGTTTTTACTAAATAAGTTTTTTGGTCAAAATTGAAGAAAATAATAGTGTTCTTCTATAAGTGATGCAACGATTATAATCATACATATATCACCATTAAATGTTAAATAAATATTTATAATTTGAAAAAAAAAGTTAATCATTGCATTAATTGTTTTTTTTTTTTTTTTTGACATAATAATAGTGTTCTTCTATAAGCGATGCCCCCCTTTTTTTTTTGTTGAGGACGAGTACGAACTTGTTCCTTTTTATCATCTTTGTGATTATATTTCTTGTGTAGGAACAAATAGGAACGAGTAGGGATAGTGCACTCTTTTAAATGTGGGTGAGAAGAATTTTTTTTGTTATTTTGTCTATATTAATCATATTATTCATTTTTTTTTAAATCTCTTTTTTTCACTATGTGTAAACACATTAATTATTTTGATTACTGTTTTGTGCAATTATTTTAGATTAATTTGTCGTAAAATTAATTCAGAAAAGTTTTTAATGTGAGTCAAGTGATGTGTACGATGAATATCAAACAACAACAAATACAAATTTAAGAAGTATTTCATTTTTAACATATTTGAAACCAAAATAAACCAAAATAAAGTTTCTACTAAATAAGATTTTTGTCAAAATTGAAGAAAATAATAATGTTCTTTGAAGCGATGCGACGATTATAATTACATACATATTATCATTTAAATATTGTATTGTTTAAAAAAGTTTTTTTCTGCATATTGAAATATTGTTGAAATTGATATTTCAAAATTCACGGCTAATATTTAAAATTTGTTTGCTTTCTTTACTCTTTAATTTTATATATTTATAAAGTAAAATACACAATTTTATTTTAACTTCTTGATGATTGAAATGAGTAGAAGCAAACACATATGTTATTACTCTATGATCACCTTTTGTGGATATAGCTTACTTAGATTAAGAGCTTGCTTGGCATTGATGTTGGCAGCTCATAAGTCATAAACACTTATTTTGAGAGAAAAACATTTTTCTTTAAAATTAGTTGTTTGGCAAACCTGTAAAACTTTCTTTAAATGGAAGCAGAAACAATTTTTCTACTGTTGGAAATAAATTAAAATTCTCTGCTTTTAAAAAAAACAGAAGCATTATTTTTTATTTATATATAATAAATTCTATATTTTATTTTTGACATTTATTATTATTTTTATTTATTATTTTACAGAATAAAAAAAAGAGGTAACAACAATATTTTTGCAAGATTAGAAAAAAGAAAGAATAACAATTCAAGATTTCAACCCTCCAAAAAAATGTATAATATAATATTGATTGAAAATTTGAATATAATAAAAATAAAATTTTAATCTTGTAATAGATGTTTAATCTAGTTTCTCTCTATAAAGTAATCTTACAATTAAAAGTACATTAATATTTGCCCTTTGTTGCAATTTGACTCTCAAAAATATATTTTTAAGAAAAATTAGTCAAACACAATTTGCTTATAAAAAGCATTTTTCAAATGAATTAACCAAACATAAATTGTTTTTTTTTTTCAAAAGCACTTCTTTGAAAAGCTATTTTAAAAAAGTTCTTATGTTAAACGATAAAAATTATGAAAATATATTAGAAATATTTATAAATTATATAAAAGTAAATACTTTTATTTATCAAATAAATTTTAAAAATTATATATATAATGTCGAATTGGTTTAATCTCGGGTTGACTTTTTTTAAGTTAAAACCAACTCAAATATAGTCACATTTTTTCCCAATATCAAACCAAGTCAAACAAAACTACTAGTCGGATTATTTTTTCCAATGTGACTCGATTTGCGATTTGATTTGATTTTCGATTCAATTTTGTTCACCCCTAATTGAGACTATTTAAGCATTTCAGATTTTCCCTCCTAAAATACCACCAGTGAGAGTGTGAGACTATTTTAATATTTCAAAAATTTCTCATAATTAATTTTTATATTACTAATACTTGCATAACTATGGTCAAGTACAAATGACCCCTTAAGAGTATAAATTATATTTCATGTTTGCCTACAAATCATAAAAATGAAATGGTAAATAAATAGCAAGTTTTTCGGGACAAGTCTAGCAAAAAAGAAATAGCTAGTCATTTCAGAATATGGGTTGTTTAGTAGAGTATATAAGAATAATGTTAAATAGAGTGTATTAGTAATGCTTGTATTAGCAACGCATGTATTAGCTATGCCTTCATTAATTATACATAGATTATTTTGTATAACTTACATAAATCCCATAGTGTAAGACCTAAATTACATTATATCCCTACTCTTTTTTATTTTACAAAAATTCCTTAAAATATCAGTCATCCGGATACATTAATTGTGATACATTATAAAACTTGTCTGTTGCACTTAATATGAAATATTAGCGTAAAATTAATTTTCTTTCCCACAAATCACGCATAACTGATTGATATCAATCCCTTCCAATTTGTAATAGCTTCACAAAATTCAAAATTCATATATCAATTCATCAAAGATCCTTTCAATTTTGATTTAAAATAATTCAAAATTTTGAGATTCAAAATTCTTCTCCCAATTCATCGAAGATCCTTTCAATAAGTTTCTTTTCACAAGTATTATTTGTTAAAGCTTCTTATGCGGATGACGAGGAACAGTTTCTTGCTACACTTTGTGTAGAATTGATGAGAGTGAGGGTTTGTAATTATTGTTCCCAAGAGTCTCGTCTACGGTGAAACAAATATTCTGTTGTCACTTTCTTTTCCTTGCATGGATGGTGAGATTGAGAAGCTGCGTAATTTCACGCGAATTTATTGTTCCTTATAATATCATTAAATTGAGGAACTGAGTTGTAATTTTGTTAAAAAGAAATAATTGTGATAGTATATGGCTTTCTCATTTCAATCCAAAAGCTTCAACAAAATTGGTGGAATGATTTCAACTATTGTAGTACCTGTCTTTTGTTTTTGCTCCTCCTTTTTTGTCAATCTGATTTATCTTCATATCCCTGGAAACTTACTTGGTTAAGTACAAAACAAGTTGTCAATCTATTCAATATTGACTATATACTTGTATATTAAATGCCGAACTCGAATTCTCGCTGCTTCTGCAGGGTAAAAGAAATGGAAAATGTAGAAGAACACAACATTGATAGAGCAACTGGATGGATTTACATGTATTAACTTTTATGTATTTATGTATCATGCTCATAAAATTGTGCATGATACATTACTTTTTAGACGATACATTATATAACTTGATACTTGTAAATGATACATTATGTAGTGTTTATGAATCAAGTACATTTATATATATTGAACATAATAAACACTAATCGAAGATTCAACAACATGAGAGTTATGTATCAATACCTTAAATAGGAACATGATACATTGCATAAAACAAAGACTATTATAGTTGTGATGTATCAGATCAGTAATAACACTAACAAAGACTAATTTAAGAATCAAAATAAACGAGATACATTGACAATTTGTATCTTTGGTAGTGATGATCGTGTAATGATAGATTCAACTTTTTTCCTTCTTTTTTGAGCATTTTTTCAACAATAGATTTAGAACTCGAGCATACATCCTTTTTTTGACTTCTCCGCTCTTAAATTCTTCATGATTAACGAAACGTTTCATTGATTAGATCTATTTTCATGAAAGTGTTCATCACCAGAATCAAATACACAAGGTACCATATCTCTAGTAAGTAAAACTAACTTGGGTAAACTCAATACTAAAAGAGGGAGAAGAATCCATATGTAAGAAAATTGTAGATGAAAAAACTATTATTTAAAAAAAAAACGAAAAATGAAGAACTGAAAAAGAAAAAAAATTGATGAAGAAATAGTCCTACCTCTTTAGGAACTTGAAATCGATGAGCTGGAGAGAGAGTAGATTTGAAATTAAAAAATGGAGTGATAGATGTAACTGCCGATATATGGAGTGATTTAGGCGTGAAAATAGGAACAAAATTGTTGGGTTGGAAGGGCTGTGAATAATGTATCTTGAAAAGGAGAGAAAAAAAGAAAAAGAGGGATTTTTGTAATATTTTGAAATGGTAGGAAATTTTAGAGAATATGAAAAGAAATAGCATGCATTGCATAAAAAAATATATAGTTTTCTTGACATATGTAATATCTTTTACATTTATATAATTAACCAACATGAAAAGTTAAGTGTTACCATTTGACCAACATGGGTTGTGGTGCACTAGTGGGA